GGTAAGTGTTGGGTTTTTCTCGTCGTTGACGACAATCCCGATTGTAATTGTAGATTGTAGGTAATAATTCAGACTCCGAAGTTCCTTTAGGTTTACTTGTTTATTTTCCGACTACCAAAAGGCTACGTTTAGTTATCTGAATCGCACTTTACGTATTATTACGTATTCTATGTTAGTTCCGATTGCTACACATTAGCACGTGATAGCGACCTTGTTACGACTTATGTACGATTAATTAAAGTTATTAGTTCGATGCATTATATACGTTTGCATTCAATATAAAATTGCTGTATGAGCATTATGGCTCGTACATGCTCCCGAGGGAAAGGTTTAGACGCAAGTGCTCAGATTACCAAACGTGTTTAACCAGTTACATAAAAGGTATTAAAGTTAAAAAGAGTTAAAGTACAAAAAATAAAGTAATCAATATTATACAAAAGAAAAGCAAAATTAATGTTAAACAAATAATAAATTAAAGATGAAAGATTCCCACTGCGGCTGGCGTCTGCCTACGATGTTGTTGCGCTCCGCCTGCTATTTCCGCGTAGTCAGCAATCTCCTCCAGTTCTATATTTTCTTGCTCCTCTCGAGTTGCTTTCGTTGTGGTAGGATTACTTTTCCTACACGCTGGGACATATCTTCTTATTTGCCATGCTATGACGGCAACGACGATTCCTCCCACCAGCAACGTGCTTATAGTGTAGTTGCCGATGTCGTGAATGCTCAATTCACTTGGAAGGCTCTCCCGCTTTCTTTGTGAGGTGATTTGGGCGTCCAGCAGCCTGTGTTCCTCAGATAAGTCCAGTTTTGGGAGTACGATCCTTGAGTCTTTGATGGAATTCCAAAGATCATTTGGCGATTCGATAGTTGGTACATCTAAGGTCATTTTAATATTAGCTTTGCTGCTTAAAACATTATGTGAGTATATAGTAGTGTCTTTATGTTGTAATACACAATTCTGACCTAGGGCAAGGAGCCCGGTCATTGTTATAGTAGCTGTTGTAATTTGATTCTCGCATACGATGCGAGTTCGACATTCGTTGACACAATTATACAACCATATGTTTGGTCTTTGTAATTTTATCCATTGGTCGAAACATTGTTGTTTCTTCCAATCGCAAGTTATGTTGTTTACATTTTGACTCAGGATTTTTGCTTCGCAAGATGCTGTAGCTCCATGGAGATTACTGATAGTTGTATGGGCGTGGCATATGTGGTTGTCCGCCTCCATAGTTGTACATTGCTGAAGATCATTTTCTTCCATATGTATATACGTATTCTTGGCGAAGTTCACTCCAATATACTCTGTTCTAAGTGTCAGCTGTTTACATTGGTTAGACTTCTGT